AAAAGAGGATGGTTAAGGGAGTGAAACTTGGTGCTTGAGGAGAGAGCCCCACTCCTCCTCAAAGGGTAAAGTTCCAGGCTCAGGGCAAGAGGAGGGAGGGGATAGATAGACTGCCTTCTCCAGGTCAGAGGCTAGTACAGACAGCACTGAAGGGGGATGTGCCTATTGATACATTGGCAGAGTCACCAGTAATGTTCAACTAAATACACTTAGAAATAAAGCCAGCCCCGAGGATGCAGGACAGTCTCAAAGGGAGACTTTGCTTGTTGTATGACATCCTGCCTGCTGGTTTCAACAGGCAGCTTAACCAGGAGCAGTTCCCAAGGCAGGTTTGGTGTCCCCAGATGTGGAGGGCTGGGCCTCAAACTAGAGCCTACACCCTGTATAGGGCCTGTGCCCTCAAAATAACAGAACTACCAGGACTATTATTCTGAAGTCTATGTAGATAGACCCAGGCAAAAGCCTGGCCTTTGGGTTTCTGGCCTATAGTGTCAGTGAAGGTTACTTGAGGATAAGGGTGTTAGGGAAATTTGCCTGCCAGATCTTCCTTTCCCTCTCCTGTCTTGAGGACTCACTGCTGAATCCCAGGCCCTGGTATAGGCCTAAGGGGCTATGTGGCAGCTCAGAAGCCTAGGCAGTCTGTAGGACAGCAGTACCACAGGCCCAGTGGCCTCATTTCTGGGCTGCTGGTTGCAGAGAGGGCCTGAGGACAAGGGCAGGTCTAGGGTCTCTTGTCATGCTCTTCACAAGCATATCCCAGGAAACTGTCCTCACCTGCTCTACTCACAGGGTGAAGGAGGTGTACAGGCTGGAGGAGATGGAGAAGATCTTTGTCAGGTGAGTAACTGGCCCAGTCTGGTTTAGATTGGTGATAGGGGTGTATAGTTGAGTGGAGTTGCATTCTATTTGCAGGGGTGGGTTATAGAGCTGGGCCCTGGCACGGCTCCATTCTCTGCCTTTCACTGTCTTGCTGCAGATGAGTCCCAGCTGTGAGCTAGCGCAGCACCTGTCAGGAGGGATACAGGGTGACTTTATGTCAGGCAGAAATACGGGCTCATTGACGCTGAAATAGTTTCAAACACTAAACCCCAGCTCACAGTGCAGTGAGCCAGGAGTGCGCTGAGGGCATAGATGTACCTTACATACCTTCAGTGTGCCACCCTCAACAGATGAGTCTCATTGTGAGAGAGCGCTGGTCACCTGAAGACCCAGTAGCCTCCCCCCTGTATAGGCTTTCTAATTTCCCTTCTTGGTGTCATTGTAAAGCTCCCGAAGAGCAGCACCCCTGCATCCACTGCTTGACTGGAGTGCAGAGCTGTGCTCTAAACTCAGAACTGCCGTTAACCCTGCTCTGGATGGCTTGGAGCAGTATGTTTAAGGGTCTGTGCTTTGGGACTAGTGTCACTTCGAATTACCTAGAGACTAACACTAGCGTGCCCCACTCTGTCCTCCGTGCATGTGCTCTCTGAACGCCTGCCCGTTGGGGAACAGGTTAGAGATGAAGCTTATCAAAGGCTCCGGCGGCACTCCAAAGCTCAGCTACACAGGACGGGATGACCGGCACTTTGTGCCCACAGGCCTCTACATCGTCAGGACTATGAACGGTGGGTTCCCCTTCCCCCAGCAAGAGTGACTGGCCCAGACTTCTTGTTGAGGTGGACAGCAGTCAGCTGGCAACTTCTGGGGTACCTGTTGGGAACACTACACCCCCAGATTAGGCCAGTTCTGGTCTTTGGCTGGGACGGGGAAAGAAGAAATTGTAGATGCTCACATGGTATTCTCAGCAGATAAGCATGGCTTCTCCACAGGATCAGGATAGGCCTTAGGGAAGTCAATCTGCTACCGTCCTGAGCCATTTGGGCTTGGCCATAGAGGCTGGAAGGGACAAGCAGGAGAGAGGAAGGACATCCTTATTGGCCAGACCCATCACCATGGGTACTGTTCTGAGTGCCTGCCTTTTTTTCCCACAGAGCCATGGACCATGGCCTTAAGCAAGAGCTTCAAGAAGAAGTTCTTCTACAACAAGAAAACCCAGAGCTCTACCTTTGAACTCCCTGCAGATTCTATTGCCCCATTTCAGTAAGTAACCCTCCAGTGGCCTAATCACTGCTATGCAGAAGCTGCCCCAAGCGTAGGCCTGGATAGAGAGCTCACTGGCTGGGTGGGGGACGGGGACACGGGGACCTGCAAGAGTGTTTGAGGAACATGTTGCAGGCTCCCAGCCTTGCCCCTTATGACTCAAAGTCCCAGGCATTCCTCCTTAAGACATGTTCGTCAGATTGCTGCTGGACATGGGCTTTGGCAGCGGCCCCATGGGGCCTAAAATTAGCCACCAACACTTGTTTCTGTAGCCAGCTAATACTGATCTCTTAGTAAAGCAGGTGAACTAGGAACATTAGTAGAGTCCAGCTGGATGCAGGCTGTGGCAGCACAAATTAGTTCTTGGAGGCATAGGAGGGAGGTGCTGGGGTCTACTGGGGGGGTACCTTTTGGATGCCAGAGGGGGAGCTCTCAACTTGAGTCACTGACAGAATCCAGTTTAAAAGCACCCATTCTTGGAAGTCACGGTTGCCAGGGGTCTAATTCTGACTGCCCCCTCCCCTTCCCAGTACCTGCTACTACAGCCGGCTCTTCTGGGAGTGGGGAGATGGCTTCCATATGCGTGACTCCCAGAAGCCTCAGGACCCAGACAAGCTGTCCAAGGAGGACGTCCTCTCTTTCGTCCAGAGTCACAATCCTGGAGGGTCTTAGGATCTCCACCTCATCGGTGTCCTGTCCTTCTCAAGGCAGGCCCTGTGTCTGTTCCTTCTGCCTCTTGGAAAGGAACTGGGAATGTTCTCCCTGGTCTTGAGGGAGATGGACTCCTCTCCATTCCCACGTAGCTCAATCCGGGTCTTTAGAGGACACATCCTTGTGGAACTCTGCTACCTGAGAACTGACACCATCAGGAGGCAGCCTGAAAGCAGCTGCTCGGGGCAGGTCAGTGCCTAGCCATTCCCTCTGGAATTTGTAGACTCTGTTTTCTGAGTTCCATTCTCTGCCTCTGAGGGCAGTCAGGCCGTCTTTCCCAACCTTTACCAGGCCAGCTGAGCAAGGAGCCCGCCATCATGTGCTGGCCAAGAGCAGCTGTTGTACAAATCAAGAGTTTTGTTTCTTGTTTCTTTTTCCCACTCCCATCCTGGGGTTCATCCTGGCAGGCTGGGAAGGAGTGAGGGCCCAGCATCCCTGACACACCAGTCTCGGGTACTAGGTGTGACTGTGACTGTCTCTTGAGTTGTAGGGCTTTCATGGGTCTGCCTATTGTGTTCTAAACACTGGGCAGCACTGAAGACCTTCTCTTTTTCTCCCTCCCAGCGGTAAGAGAAGATACCCCTCCAGGGTAGGTGGAGCACCAGCCCTCAGGCAGTTCAGGCCACCTGAAGAAGCTCTTGGCAGAGCCTTGAGCTAGTGGTAGCTCTGGTGCCCCTCCTGTCCACTAAGAGGTACATACAGTGTGGTCACTCCATTTCCTCTGTCTCTTTAAGAGGGAGGAAGAGCAGCAGCTTTGGGTTTGGGGAGGGCACCTGTGGATGTTTTTTAATGGGAGGTACCTCAAGAGATTTTCATGCAGGTCCTGAGGGCCCCATGCCAGCACCAGGCTGGTTTCCATGGAGATAGGGCATTGAGGTACCTGTGAGGCTGGAATTGACTCCACTGTAGGAGGTCCCTTCTGACAGCCTCTACCCCTAAGCCAGCAGCAACAGTGCTAGGATGCCATGTTTCCACCCAGTTCTGGGCCTATCAGTGTGTCTTGCAGAATCTTGGATCATTAAACATATTTTTATTGCTTGTGTGGCTGGGGTCTGACTTTAAGAGAAAGGGGAGGAGGGTTTGTGGAATTAATGCCTCTCCAGCTCCTGGGCTGCTACCTGGTAGACAGCCCAGAGGCATCAAGGTGCAGTTCTTGTTTAAAGCTGGGATCAGGGAATGAATGAACCCACAGCCCCAGAAGGGTGGGGAGGCACCTTCCCTCTTACGTAAATCACACAGCTCACTCTGTGGTGGCACTGTGACAATCCAGGATCAGTCTGTGTGACTAAAATAAGAGGTGTCAGACCAATTAGTGTCACTAGTCAAGAGACAGGAGAGAAGGGGTGTTACTGACCCTGGCCAGCTTCCCTCCACAAGAGTGCAGTGTTCTGCACTAGGAGAGGCCGGCCCACTGAGCCTCCATCAGCTCCAGGTGAGAATTCCTTCACCTAACCATTAGACTTGAGTGGGCTGCCTCCATCTGACCCCATCTCCATGGTTCACAGTATGTTTTATTTGGTGGGTTCCTGTATGTCCTGGGCCTCACCATAGTCCTGCAGCGACCACCTTTCCTCTCCTCGTGACCCTTTACTGTGAGTGGGGGTGGGGTGATGTCTCTGTTAGCTGCTCTTGCTTGGCTTCTTTTGATCAGGCCCTCCTTATTTACTGGCTGTTGTCACCAGAAGTCTGTCTGGTTGTTACCATAGCTCTTGCTGCCCCCGCCCTCCTGGAGGCCTCCTTGGCCCTGCCTGTCTCTAGAAGATGAGTTCACTTAGCATGCTCCTGGGACCTCCACTTCAAGCCCAAGTCACCTTGTACCATGCATGCTGCATTTTCTTCACTGGTGATCACAGGCCAGGGCACAGAATCTGGAGAATCGGGTGGCACAATGCTGCCTTCCCAGCTGCTCTTCTCCCTCCCTCCCTCCCGAACTGTGCACAAGCACTTGGGAACATCCCTTCATCTTTGAGACAGGAGTGCTCCCTTGCTGTGCCTCAGCTAGTCAGCCAGAGATATTTACTCACTAGACAGCAGAGCTTGGGGCTCTTTATTGCCCCTCGACTGAGCACTAGGAGGAGGCAGTACCATGCCTTTCTGCTGCAGCTGCTGGGCAACCACAGGGGGAAAAGGCCCCCACCTCTGTCTTGAGCTTGAAAGGTTGCTTGGTCCCTGAGTAGAGAGTAGAAGGGAACCTGCATGGCTGAGGACGGCTAACTCACATAGTCCAGTGGGCATAGAGTAGAGCGAGGAGGAGGAAGATGGCCACCGAGAGGAGCATGTTCTTCCGATTCTCTTGCCGAAGCCGCTTTAGCTCCTTCTCTGGGAGGAAAAAGATTGGAACAAGAAAAAACATTGAGGCCCACCTAACTTCTTCCCAAAATTGACAATCTGAAGACAGAAATGTCTTTCAGCTACTTTTGTACCCCCAAACCTGACCCTGTCCTTGATCTGCCCACACCCTCTGAATCCTTTAGCTAGATTTAGACCTAAGAGCAGGCCTGATTTGCTCAACCATTTTTCTGAGTACAGTAGGGTATGTGCAAGGCCACCAAAAGGGCTCATCTTTCAGGAGCCTTTTCAGCCAGCTAGAGCCTCCTTGGGCTCACACAGTTCCTGAATTCCTGCTGTCTGAAGGTACACTAGAAGAAGCCCTGATATTCTTCAGCTACATTCACACCCAGTCATCACTTGTGCAGTTTCTGCTCTGCAAAGGCTAAACTGATGTCCTGGCTACCTACCCCTACCTAAGCAATGGACCGGGAGAACTGCCAGACTGACCCTCTTGAGTAGAGAAGGAATGGACACATCCAAAGAGTCCTGCAGACCTCGAGGCAGGGGCTACTGGGCTCTCACTAGCTCTGCTCCCTGCACCCAGAAGGTGGCAGCATTGCTCTAGCCACAGAAGCCCTTTCCTGCCTAAGGAGGGGCTATCCAACCACCCCACTCCCAATGTGGGTTGTTCTGGTTGGGTAGGGCATTAGATGCAGAGTCCAGTGTCTGTGGATGAGAGCCTTTCTTCTGGACATGGCATAGACACACCCCAGTGAATACAGACCCCTTGCAACTGCTTCCTCCTTTGAACAAAAAAAAAAAAATGGACCATTCTCACAGGTACCAGGGATGAGGCTGGCAACGGGAGGGAACTTTCTTACCATACTTGGAGGCTCTGCTCATGAGGGTGGTTTTCTCCTTTTCCAGAGCCCTCCTGTGGGGAAGGAATTTACAGCTCAGACCTTTTTTCCTGTCTTAACCAGAGGGGCAATAGTTCTTGTCTGTTTGAATAAAGGGGCCAAAAACTAGGATCTTAAGAGGACAGGGGTTAAAGCTCAAAAGTTAGGGACTCTTCTGCCTTGGCTTAGTTTATATAGGAACCAGGTCAGAGAGGCCTGACTGGACAGAGGCATTACCTGTCCTCAGGACTCAGCTCTGCCCTGTAGAGCTGGGAGGTCACAGCCTCTAGGTCCTTCCGACACTGAGACAGCTTCTCCTCTAGCCCATCAATCTGAAAGAGACGAGACGAGAGACAGAGGTGCTGAGCTCTAAGCTTCCCAGCACTGGCGCCCTGGAGGGGCTCACCTCTAGCCCCTCCCTCCCTCCCTCCCTCCCTCCCTCCCTCCCTCCCTCCCACCCCATGTTGTCCTGGGCAGGCCCCGCTTTGCTGATGACAGAGGACTTCAATTTTGAACTGCCAGGCTGAGTTTCCGAAAACAACAGTGGGTGAACCAGGCACAAGTTGGGGATGAAGAGGTAGATCCCTGCCAGAGCCTGGCACCCAGCAGGACCTACCCCACGGTTGATTTGGGAGGAACTGCGTACTGCAGAGGCAGCACAAGGCCCAAGTCTCCAGGTGGGAGGGAGGGAGGGAGGGGTAAACGTCAGGGGCCAGCAGGGGCATTTTCCTCCTAGACATGATTCACTTAATAGTGCAGTAGTGTTGTCACAATAGCCATTTTTCTGAGAATCAATAAAAAGTGGTGAAACAATGCAACTCAAAACCACTTCTCTTTCTTTCTGTGGCTCTTACGCAGAAATGTTGCCCATCACCAAGGTCAGCATAACTCGATGGCAAAGAAGCTAAGCTCTTGAAAGGAGGGCTGCCAGCCGTATCTTCTTCCACCTGCTCTGTCATTTCAGAGATGTGATCTTAGAGAAAATACCTGAGTTATGGGAAAATGGTTTGTAAAATGCTGGGTTGGGCTATCCACACCTGGGTGCCAATGTTAGGCATTTGGCATTGAACACCATAATTCTGCCCTGACTTGGTCTCCAGGTATCTAAGTGGCCACTTCACTGGGTCTAAGCTGGCTGGCTAGTGCTGAGGGCTCCTTGGAACCCTGTAACCGTCCATCTCTGCCTTCGCCCACCCTTACCAAGTCCCCAAGAGGGACAGCAAACGTGGCCAAATGGGAGGACAGAGATGGGATGGCTTTTCTGAGGAGTCATGAGGGCACCCTTCTGTTGGTCTCAGCTCCATTCCTTATTGGAGCTACCTGGAAGAGTCTTGCCTCCTAAGCAGGCTGGTCAGAGTCTGGATGTCCCAGGCCAATGGCCTGGGGTCAGGAATCAGGAAAATTGTACTTGAAGTCCCTGGGCCTTTGCCTTCTGCCTGGACAACAGCCATCTCAGACATTCCTGGGTCAGCCACTTTGGTGGGTTCTAATGGAAGGTAACCCCTTTCCTGCAGCCCAGTCAGAGGGCTCGATGTGAAGGAATAACCCACAGAGCCTTGAGGTAACTGCATGGTCAACTCTGCCATTTCCCTGTAGATGGGGACCAGCCTCGGCCAGCAGACTAAGCAGTGCCCAGAGAAGCCAGAGGCCTTCCTGGAACTGTACTGTAGGGAGGGGACACTAGAGAGCCAGGCTTGGGGACAGCAGTCTGATACGGGCACTTGTGGCCACCATGTAGTGTGCCCTTCACAGAATGCTGCCCAGCACAGGCTAGCCCCTGAGATTGTGTGTCCTCATGTGGCACAGGAGCAACTATCAGCCAGAGGCCATCCGTGCTGGGGCCTGAATCTTACGTAAGTACTGGACCTCCTGCCCTGGCTGGAGGATACCTCTCCTTCACCTGGCAGTCAGCCCTGTCTATACTGCCCCTCCTATGAATTCAAGCTTTTATCTTCCCAGGCTAGAAGCCCACAGACTGGCCAGTTCTACTTGTAACTATGACCTGTCCGTCCTCCGAGAATGCCCAAGTCTGCAGGTCCTTAGGCCACCTGCCACCTTTGTGCCCCCAAGGCCTGGTCTCCTGCAGTCTTCCTGTTTGTGGCTGGAGTGAGCGGCAGCTCAGCATGGTTGACCGAGGAGCTGGGAACAAATGGTTCGGGTTTATACACCTGGTTTCTGAAACCCTGGGGCTCACTGAAACAAGCAAACAATTGTGCCTACACATAGCTAACGCAGCTTGCCCCAGATGTCCAGTCCAGGTTCAGTTCTTCCTGCTGCTCTTTGGGCAGGGCCCTGGTTTGGGGACCATTCTGGGGAGGGATCAGGTTCAGGATTTCCATGTCTGAATGCCTCTGGAAGGTGACCAAGTGCCCAAACAAGTGATAATTGCCCCAGAGCAAGGCCAGGCCCTCTTGCTGAGCAATGTCTTACAGCTGAGGCTGTGGCCAAGCCATCCTGCCATCATGCTCTGGACAGGGCCTCAGGGGCTGGCAGTCGGGGGCCTTTATCTGAACAAGCCCAATTTATTTGCAGTTACACTGAATATCCCCACTTTCATTTGCCACTTTTTAATGAGGCTTAAATGGGCGAACACAAATCAAGGTTTTAGGGACTCAGTTCTAACCTCCCTCTATGAATATTTATGTCCTGCTGACAGTTCTGATTCCCTTCTAAATAGCAAGTTCTCTTTACAACTGCCTGATGTGGACTGGGGGATGGGGGAGGCTGAGCATGAAGGAGGCTCTTCAGCAAGCCACAGGCTCATCCTTGGAAGGGGACTAGACACCAGCAGCACTTGAAGCAGAAGTCACTGTCAGAAACTGGAATAATGGGGCAGCCAGGAACCAGGCTGTGGAGGAGGCAGGGAGGGATGGTCATAATGCTGCTTTTAGATGGGATGTGAGGCTGCAGAACAGAGTTGTTCCAACAAGATAGGTCAAAAGGGCAAGAAAAGACCGAAAAATGGGCCTTATACGAAGTCCCCAGTTAGAGTTTTCAGTCAACTCCCATGCACACGGGTTATGGATATTACAGACTACAGGTTCAAATCCCAAGTCCTCACTCATTTTCTCTCTGCCCTCAGGCCAAAGGCAACAGGACAGAGAACCAGGACCAGAAGCTGTAAGCTTTAGGGTCAGAGTAAGGAGCTAGATCTCAGGGTCAGAGCTGGGTCAGTTGTCACTTGTCAATGAATGGCAGGCTCCTTACACCTGCTTGTGCCTCAGGTGACATTTCAGAGCAGCACTTCACACAGCTGGAGTTTAGTAACAGCTGCTGTTAGAGAATGGTATTCACTGGGTTGCTGTGGCTAGAGTAAGACAGCATGAGGTCCTGGGAGTCAAGGGTAGCGGAAGGAAGGGAAGTCCTAGCCCTGTTATGGGCAGGCAGCAGTGGGAGGTCATGTGTCTGTGGAGGGGACCACAGGCAGGCAGTGAGTACAAAAGGTCCTCCACCATGGGTCAGCCCACCATTTGGCACAGAACACAGTACACTGGTAAGCTATGCAGTCTTGTGGGGGATGGCACCGGGGGGGGGGGGGGGGGCGGGGTTCAAGTGGCAGATGCTAGGTGTGGGGGAACCCAAGCGTGAGACCGTGAGACCAACAGAGCCCTAGACAGAAAACTCAACTGAGGCCCAGGGAAGCAGTACTCCCCTGAGGAAATGCCGACAGCAGGGGAAGCCTGGCAGCCAGTAAGGCTGGGAGTTGGCCTGGGGATCCTGGGAACTGTGGCAGAAAGAGGATCAATCCAAGAGATGGGAACTATTAGAGTGAAAAGGGAAGGTTCCACCGTGGAAGGTCAGGGAGCCACCCACAGCACCTGCCTGGCAGAAGACTGGTAACTCAGGTGCTGAGACAGCATGGCCCTGACAGAATGCGTATCCCCTGGTAGATTAAGGACCATCCATGTGCTATGCTTACATCCAAGAACAAGGTGATATCAGAGGGAAGAAGAAGTAGCGGCTGAAGTAGTCTTCTGGGAGGAGCAGGGACCCCGAGATACAAGGGTGGAGCTGGAGTTTGAGTCAGCAAACTTCCGGCACCTTGCACTGAGAAGCTAGGAAGGACCATGTAAGGCCCCCCGTGGAGCAGTGTGGTCTTGTAGAGACTACCTGGACCCAGCAGTGACTGGGCAGTAGCTAAACCTGTCTGTGGGGGCAGGAGAGAAGAAGCAGATAAGGTGGGAAAGAGGAAGGCACAATCCCAAAGAAGGTGGGGTACCGTAGGCATCCAGGAGCTGCTGTTACTTACTTAGAGAAGCCTGCATGTGAGGTCTCTACTGCAGTCTGGGAAGAACTGAGGCCTCTGTCTGTCTGCCTCTGAGTAGGACTTGAGTGGCTCAGCGTTTGCTGGAGAGGGCAGAACAGCTGAAGGTGGCAGTCAGGACTCCTCAGAGCTTCCCTCCCTAGCCCATAGCTCCAAGCACTACTGTCTGCTCCAGGTGAGGGCTGTAGATCCCTAGCCCTAGGCCACAGGAATGGCCCCCTCCCTGACTTGGATACAGCCTTACTCCCAGAGCTTTAGGCAAGTGTCCCTGGGGTCCTATGCACCATAAAACCACTGTGTTAAGAGAAACTGTAAAACTCTTCTGAAATCCCCAGGAGGCATCTTTTCAGAGGATGGCGCCTCTAGGAATCAAAGCCCTGAAGAGGCTCCTCAGAGGCAGGGAACTTGTGCCACTTACATAGACAGCTGCCCCTACACAGGTCAAGTCAGGCCCCACAGGGTGCCAGCTCCAGGGCTGCTGGAGAAGCATGGGCAGCTTTTATTCCTCTGACAAGGAGAGTCAGCAGGAGCCACAGGCCCTTCAGTAGGAGAGTGAAACAGCTGAACACAGACAGCCGGGAGGCAGCTCCTGGTCCACACTTTCAGCCACTGCAGCTACCTTGAGGGCCAGGCTCTCACCTGGGAAAGGACAGAGGTTCCCCTGGGGCTTGGTTCAAGGCCACACAGCCCACTCTGTTTCCTAAGTTGGCAAGAGGTTCCTGTCTCTCTAGGGCCTTGCTCCTGGGAGCTTTTGGCCAGCAAGTGACAGGATGCTGGCCAGGAAAGGGCTTGCCTGAGGCGTCAGGCAGTAGTCAAGGGGCATGCCCTGCATTTATCTGGCCAGGAGCTGGCTGGGTACCAAGGACTTATAACAAAGAAGATGGTATCATGTATCTGGATGAAGGCATGAATCAGGAACAACACTGGGAACCAAAAGCCCACACAGTAGATGCAACAGCTGGAACACATCTGCAGCAATGTCCAGGTGCCAGGCTCTGTTCTAGACACTCCACACAGAGGGGGAGGGCAGATAACCAGAGTCCACATTTTATAGGCAGACTTACAGGA